CTAGATAGAGTGAGACTAGCAAATACTAAAAGCATGTTTAGGCAGGAAACAGAGGTCAGTATTTCCATAGGACATTTCCTTTCCTTCTCTGTAATGATTCTAGATAGAGTGAGACTAGCAAATACTAAAAGCATGTTTAGGCAGGAAACAGAGGTCAGTATTTCCATAGGACATTTCTTTTCCCTCTCTGTAATGATTCTAGATAGAGTGAGACTAGCAAATACTAAAAGAATGTTTAGGCAGGAAACAGAGGTCAGTATTTCCATAGGACATTTCCTTTCCTTCTCTGTAATGATTCTAGATAGAGTGAGACAAGCAAATACTAAAAGCATGTTTAGGCAGGAAACAGAGGTCAGTATTTCCATAGGACATTTCTTTTCCCTCTCTGTAATGATTCTAGATAGAGTGAGACTAGCAAATACTAAAAAGAATGTTTAGGCAGGAAACAGAGGTCAGTATTTCCATAGGACATTTCCTTTCCTTCTCTGTAATGATTCTAGATAGAGTGAGACAAGCAAATACTAAAAAGCATGTTTAGGCAGGAAACAGAGGTCAGTATTTCCATAGGACATTTCTTTTCCCTCTCTGTAATGATTCTAGATAGAGTGAGACTAGCAAATACTAAAAGAATGTTTAGGCAGGAAACAGAGGTCAGTATTTCCATAGGACATTTCCTTTCCTTCTCTGTAATGATTCTAGATAGAGTGAGACTAGCAAATACTAAAAGCATGTTTAGGCAGGAAACAGAGGTCAGTATTTCCATAGGACATTTTCTTTAATTCTCTGTAATGATTCTAGATAGAGTGAGACGAGCAAATACTAAAAGCATGTTTAGGCAGGAAACAGAGGTCAGTATTTCCATAGGACATTTCCTTTCCTTCTCTGTAATGATTCTAGATAGAGTGAGACTAGCAAATACTAAGAGCATGTTTAGGCAGGAAACAGAGGTCAGTATTTCCATAGGACATTTTCTTTAATTCTCTATAAAAAGTAAAAAAGATGTCACATGTAACTCAAAGAGAAAATAATGACAAAATCAAGATGTCAACGTCCCACACAATTTCAAATAAAAGATTAGAAAGAAAACCGCCATCAATACTGGAACGAGTGATAACAACTACTGAAGTTGAGAAAACAAATTTTTTAAAAAATATTTGAATAGCAAGATTTAATAAATTTTAATCAAAAGTAGTACAAATTGGTTAATGAATGCCAGGCTTTTTCTTATAAGGAAATGCCAAATATTACACTTACCATATCCGTGATATGACATTACATTGTTCATGTGACATCCATTTTACTTGTTATTGTTCTTGAATCTTCTCAAGGATGCCGCTTCTATTATTTTATAAAGTACTTTGTGTTTTTATAGCACTAGCCCACAAGGTTCTAAGGTCCTGTCTAACACCTACAGTTTTCATTCACTCAAACCTATATTTGATCTGAGAAGGCAATTGTATACAACTGACAGTTTAGATATTTCTGAAGGAGTTTGATGTGCATATAGGAAAAGATCTGTTCTCCCATCATCCATTTCTCACTTCTTCCTGGTCTTTTTGATTGGAATAGAGGTTTTTCTCTTGTTTCCTGTTTAGGGTTGGATTTCCTGTTCCTTCTAAAGGCTTCTTATTTTCTTTTACCCCCAGTAACCTCTTAAAATCTAATTGGCATTATCACCTTGCTTGAGGTGAATTGGTTAAAAAAAAACTGCATGACTTTATAGTGGTGTGTTGTAGAGTAGAGGTGGAAGCGATCAGTTTCAAAGCAAAGAAGCAAATGACAAAATTAAACACACCTCAAAAAAGGGCTCTGCACAAAATTCTGGGTTTCAAATATACTTCAAATTTTCACTTTAATAAAATAAATAGCCAATAAAATCAGCTCCTTCCAATAACACAAAATTCTGGAGCCTAGACAAAAAAGAAAAAGAAACCAAACATTCATTCAACTCAGCAGGACCAGTAAAGAGACATGAGTCAACCTCAGCGTCTTGTCTTTCTCACCAAAACAACAGCAGATTTCTTTTGATTTTGTCTCCCAACTCTACTTTCTCTCTTCCTCACCGAAAGACTATATGTCTTCATTTCCTTACAGTCAAAGAGAAGACCTTTCTAATTTTCATTTCATGATAAGTAATTAGAGTTAAAATTTGTATGTCCTACATTTAAATAAATATTATTTTATTTGAACATGCAAAAATCTTTTCTCTCATTTTTTTCATTCAACAAACAGTGAACCATAGAATCTTTTCCCAACAGTGGTGCTTAGAGCTTAAAATGAACAAATTAACAATTAATTTACCCAGACGATTAATAGATGTTGAAAATGATGACAAAACACACAGGTAATTTTAACAAAACAATGTAAGGAATTTATATACAAATTTATGCTCTTGTTGCTGTTTCAGTAGCTTGTTTCAGGAAAATAAATTAGAAATGTTTAAAGTTTGTAGTTTGAATGAATTGAAGAGCAATGGCATAACTGGGGTGGGGTAGATTGGGTGGTTTGCCCTGGGTGGCACTTTTGGTTTGTGGTGAGTTTTCAGAAAAGAAAAAAAATAGCATAATTTCAATAATTCTTATAAAAAAGCAATGGTAAGTAAGAAAATAGGGTTCAAATGAAGCCAATTTGTCATTGATATGGCTGGCTCAAATTCAGCCAGCCAGCAATTTTAAAAAACAATTATCTCCAAAACGCACTGTCATCTGGTGGGGATAAGATGTGAGCAAAAGATGTGAAAAAATTTGAAAATTTTTAAAGGGCTTGATGTGGGGTGGATTAAGTGAATTTAGTGAATCCAGTTTTTTCACACTTATGTGAGAAGTCCCAACTTTGGTATCAGTTCCTTGATTTTGATTTTTCATGTCTGTAAACTGTTAGTGAAAAAAAATTAAATAAATAAGTGAACCAATTGTCTTTTGTTTTGTTTTGTTTTTTCTTATCATAGGCCTAGCTTTAATGCAGGTATAAAAATCGTTACTTTCATAAATTATAAAATAGATAAATAAACTGAAATAATTCCAATGCTTTAAGGATATCACATGCATTCCAATTTTTCCTGGAAATACTGAATGAAAATTTAAAAGGAAATTGAAAATTAATTTATTTTTTTAAGTGCAGAAACTTTATTTAAAGTCCAAAAATGAGCATTTTTTCAATTTTTGAATTTACAAGTTTTCACGGTAGTAAAACAGTGCAATGTTTTATTTTTTTTTATTTAGATAGCTGAAGTTTTATTAAGCAAAATAGACTAAGAATTAAAAGTATAATATTTATTTCAGTTTTTAAAAGTGAAGTTAATTTTATGGGACTTTTAATTTTTAGTTTACTACTTTGCTAATAATAACTTCAACTACATAAAACAAAATAATTTAAAAAGACAGAGTATTGTTTTTTTTTACATTGTTAAAAGAAAAAACATTTGAGCCAGCCATATGAAAGACAAATTGGCTTCATTTGAAACCTAACTTCTTCCTTATCGTTACTTTTTTTGCAAGAATTATTGAAATTATGCTATTTTTTTCTTTTTTAAACATGGCATTTATGACGCCTCACTTGTTGGAATTGAAATAAATATTTAAAAACCTGATAAATTATGAATTAAAAGTTCAATGTAGTTTTTTGGTCTTCTTTTTAAATAAAACAAAGGGTACATAAACAAAAACAAGAAATCTTTCTTTTAATCATAAAAAGATTTTAAAGTTTTCCCAATTTAGCAAAAAGGAAGTAACGTCTTTGTTTTTTTACATATCCCCAGTTTTAGTTTTATAAAATGAAGTAAATAAACATAATTTTATTTCATAATTAAGGAATTATAAATACTAGATTAACAGAAACACAGAAAAAACCTGGCATCATACATTCATTAGGTTCTGAGAAATGGATAAAAACATTAAAAATTGATGAGTGTACAAATAATGAATAATTTTGTCATTGACAGTATATATATATATATATGCATGTACGTACAAACTTTTCCAACATTCTCACTCACACACACTACTCACATGCTGAACATTCCTTGTATGTACTCACATAATCTTTTCTTACACAGCAAAATCTTTTGAGATCAGTCATTATAAGAGACTCTTATGAACATTCTTCCAGTGAACTTTGAAATACAAATAACAGAAAAAGAGAGACAACTCTTGTTTTATTCAAACTTTTCTTACTTAAATGCATGCTTTCTTTCACATCGTTGTTTGATATTGTAAATCTTGTTAAATACATATTTTATGTGTATCAATGACTTTTGCTTATCTTTTTCCACGTCAGCCCTGTTTCCTAATCTAAAGTTAATTTAATGTGATGAAGTCCACCACAAAGGAAACTTCTTTGATGAATTTTTTTCAAAATACATATTTTTTAAAATTTTAATGGCCTATCTGAAAGGACTTAGATCCACTGTAATTAATCCAACTGATTCTGTTAATCAATTAAAACGAATTTGTATTGCCTAGTTAGAAATTGGAGTTAATTTAATTGTATAAAGTTGTGGCTTTGCTTGTTAAAATGAACAAAGAGAAGAGAGAGATGTAGTTTTAAAAGATACATTTTTCTCTAGTAGCTGAGATTACATTTAAGATAGGAAATTATATTTATTCAAATCTTCTATCTTCCAGCTACTGAAAATTAAGAATACCAGATGTTCCAGAACTGGAATACCAACCACTGCTCAGAAATATGCAACAATTTCAGTCACAATATATAGTCTGGTTCTAACAGATATGTAATAATATCATATACGTAGGACCAAAAACAGTTCTTCCTTGTAGTTATTACTAATATAAAGATAGTTTTCAAATCAGTACATCTTGGGAGCAGCACACCGTTCAGCTTCAGACAAGCCTTTCTTTTCTTGGTATCAAATTCGAGGTGCATTTGTTTAAAAATAAATATATTTACAAGGGAGACAATTTCTTCAGAGTTGCGTCCCTTAAAAAAGGGAAGCAACTTATATTTTATGATGTTTAGCGTTGTTTAAATTAAATTGTGAAAATTTAATTTGCCAATTCAAATTGAGCAATTTTCGATTCAACAAGATAGATAGATAGATAAATAGATAGATAGATCTGATCGTTATAATATATATATGACCATAATTACATAGATTGATAATATGAACAGAGTGAGATAGATAGATAGATAGATAGATAGATATGCGATCAGACCTACAGAAAGGCACTGAAAAATGGAAAAGAATGTGTTCTTATTTTTTATGTAACTTTTTGGGTTTTCGTATATGCTTATTGTTTTGATGAAATAATAAGAATATACTAAAAGAAAGAAATACAAAATCTACAACTAAAAGAATGTAATAATAATAATAATAATAATAATAATAATAATAATAATAATAAATACCTAAAAAAGATAGCTAAGAAGACGAATGCAACAGACCAGTTACAGAAGCGATGGCAAGATAAACCGCTTCATGGCCAATACTCTGCCCGTACCAAACAAGCTGACGTAGACAAAACGCGTACCCATCAGTGGCTACGTAGTGCAGGGTTGAAAGTGGAAACTGAAGGTTTTATCCTTGCTGCGCAGGACCAATGCTTGCTAACTAGGAATTATCAAGCACATATACTAAAATATTGTGTCAGCCCAAAATGCAGATTCTGTGATAAATATCCAGAAACGATTGATCATCTTGTATCAGGTTGTACGGTGTTGGCACCCACTGAATATAAAACCCGACATGACAGAGTGGGCCAATATCTGCACTGGAAAATCTGCAACTTCTACGGAAGGAAACTGAAAGAAACTGGTATGAACACCACCCAGACCCGGTTACGGAGATAGGACTTGTTACAATTCTATGGGACTACACAATACACACTGACAGAACAATCAAGGCCAACCGCCCAGATATTGTTATTAAAGACCACAAACAAAAACGGTGCCTCCTTATTGATATGGCAGTCCCTGCCGACTGCAATGTATCTTTGAAGATATTCAAAAAGTTGTCAAAGTACAAGGACCTTGAAATAGAAATCGCGAAAATGTGGCATATGGGAATATCAACAATCCCTGTTATAGTTGGAGCCCTAGGACTGGTTGGAAAAGATTCCAGTAGACTAATTGAAGGGATTCCTGGAAGTCCATGCCTCAAGGAGATACAGAAAATTGTTCTGACAAGTACAGCCCACACCTTACGAAGGGCTTTATCTATGTAATTTTTTTTTTTTTTTTTTTTTTTTTTTTTTTTGTCAGTGGAAAATGTCATGACGCCATTTCTAACCTTAGGTCCCTGGGCGGGACCGGGAAAGAAATGTGTAAACGCCAGAAATCAAAGAAAATAAAAATAATAATAATAATAATAAATTATATAAAAATAAAAATCCAATTGTTATGAATAATCAAGAGTGGTTTCCCTTCGTTTTGTTACTCTTCTCTTTGAAAGAGATATTTCTGTTTACTGGGATTATAACAGGGCACTATACGTGAACTTTGTATTCTCATTTGAATAAAGCTTTCTTAAAGCGTACACCTGTGTACTTATGTCATTACACCTGTATTACCTACTAACTCCATAATATCAACTATTGAAAATAATATATCCAATTTTCATATCAAACTAATTGCAACTGCATCTAAAACTATTATGGAAAAGATCCTAATTAAAAATGGCCATAATAATAATAATTTTGAAGCAGGCATATACGAGATAAACTGTACCATGTGTTTTTCACAATATATTCGTGAAACTTTCATAAATCTTTTAAAATATATATTTATAAACATAAGAAAGATCTCCTACTTAACTATTTACCAAATGCACACTATTTAAATTTTTCGACTGTCATCCTTGTTGCCAAATTTATCACAACGTTTTGGCCGTTGTACGCTCCGGCCTTCTTCAGGTGGTTGGAATATCGAACTGAACCCTTTATTTCACTCACTGGGGTAGACTGTTCTAGTTCCATGTGCTATGTTTAATGGATGCCAGTTATCAGTTATCTCCTGTTAATTCCCCTCTCCAAGTTCTCCACCGCCTTAACCAGGTATTGAACTGACATTCTTTGGGTCCTATCACTGGATCTAACTAATGCCTTTATACACTGTACCATGTGGACATCTGTGTACGAATTTCTGGGTATTATAAACCTAATGTCTTCAACAACCATTTTTACCAGTGCTCATATTGCCATTTTTGTTGTTATCATTCAATATTTTTTACCAGAGCTCATATTGCAATTTTCATTGTTATTATTGCTTTATAAAGGGTTCAGTTTGACATTCCAACTACCTGAAGAAGGCCGGAGCGTACAACGATCGAAACGTTGTGATAAATATAGCAACAAAGTTGAGGATGACAATCCGAACAATGTAAATAGTGTACATAATACCTCATCTTAGAAATATAGACACATACTTATCAAATGCAATAGTTACCTACAGAATTAATTTCAACCAATTTTTCGATCTCAAAAATGCTATACTTATTAAAAGAGGTAAAAATTTACTTAGACGAAAATTTTAAGAACGTGTGTGAATTGATGAATAAAAAGGGTGGAATTATTTCGAACTATGTCAACATCAAACAAGTAGAGAAGTTTAAATATCTGGGAAATGTTTTAAGAATAGAAAATACAATACCGAAATCCGAACGCGGATCGTATCGGCAAAAGTTGCATCTCAATAGATAAACAAAGTACTAATAAAAAACTAGAGAATTACATAGGAAACAAACAAAAGAGTGCTGTGATATCAAAAAATATGTGATATCAAAAGCGTGCTGTGATATCATAAAAGTTATGTGATATCAAAAGCGTGCTGTGATATCAAAAGAGTGATGTGATATCAAAAGAGTGCTGTGATATCATAAAAGTTATGTGATATCAAAAGAGTGATGTGATATCAAAAGAGTGATGTGATATCAAAAAACATGTGATATCAAAAGAGTGCTGTGATATCATAAAAGTTATGTGATATCAAAAGAGTGGAGTGATATCAAAAGAGTGATGTGATATCAAAAAACATGTGATATCAAAAGAGTGCTGTGATATCATAAAAGTTATGTGATATCAAAAGAGTGCTGTGATATAAAAGTTATGTGGTATCAAAAGAGTGATGTGATATCATAAAAGTTATGAGATATCAAAAGAGTGATGTGATATCAAAAGTCAGTCAGTCAGTTATTTGCCATGCATGATACACACTTAGACGATCATGTATCTTTCGATACATGACTGACGAGGCAGATGTTTTTTTTTCCCGCAGTAAGTTGCCATTTCTTTCTGCTGTACACCAGTTGCTATCCAAGGCTATGGAACATGGACTAACTGGTCCAGTCATTAGAGTAATGAATAGAATAATTTTCGTCTCGAAAGATACCTGACATTACCTAGAAGTGAAAAATAACATGAAGATGATGAAATTATTCATCGAAAGTACTTACAAACCAGCAATATTATCGGTCCTGTTCTGGCGTCTCGGCTTTCACTTTCGCACCGACATAAGGTTGTCACTCTGTGTCTTTTCTATAAATATTTTCGTGGTAATTTTTCGGATGAACTTTTCGTGTGAGAATGCCAAGCAGTATAGCATGCCGTTTCCAAATTCATGGCGGAGTGAATTACATCAATCTCCTCTTTTTTTCTCACAGACGTTGCCCAACTGACCCTACAATACGGTGCAGTCGACAAAATCAAAAATAAACTACACGCTAGTGCAAAAATAAAAATATAAAATGGCGACTACTTATACATCCTACCCTGTATGTTGCTCACTGAAATAACAATACACAACTATTATGATTTAACTTAACCAATTTTATCAAACATGTACAATTGAGAAAACTGACATAAATATTTCAAATAAATTTCTTCAAAAAAAATATTTAATAAACTTCGTTCATAACTTTTTAATGTAAAAAAATGACTTATTTGAAAAATACTCACAAAAATAATGATAGTTTAACAATATAAAGGGAAAAAACCACTGGTCACCTAGGAGAATGGGTTGTTTCCCTTGAAAATGCTAAAGGGAGGTAATTCAAATAATGGATTAATTTTTCTTTATTCTTTAGCTGAAAGTGGCGTTTACATTCTGTTTTGTTTTGCTTTGATCAAAAACAAAAATTCAACTGCAAAATTATTTTCGTTTCATCTATCCCTGCGAATTTCATATAAAAAAAAAGACCTTTTATAGAAATCTCACTGCTTATAGTACACAGTATATCGATTTAAACAATAAAATTCGGAATAAATAGACGAGGTCTTACTGCTTGTTTTTTTTTAATTTTTAATTTTTTTTTTTTTTAACTTTTTCTGATAATAAAGAAATTTAATCCCCCACGCTTTGAAAAGACACGACTCAACGAGTGAAAAATAATCATACTTTAAAAAAGAATGAATAGAGTGACCACGCTAAAAGAAAAATGCATCAAACAAAATTAAACATTAAACTAAAATCAACCCGACCTTGATTCGAACCTAAAGATAATTAGGCGAATGATATATAGACAGTATGCACTGCTTGAATTGCAAATTAAAATTAATTTGTAAATAATATGTTAAGAAGAGTGCACAGATACTCCACTGATCCTCGGTAGGGAGCCAGAAAGCAACACTTAGTTAGAATGTAGACTCGTCCTTTTCCTACTTATTACCCCTAGTAACAGAACAGTCTATATCTTACGCCCACGTACGGAACTTCAACCAATAAAAACCGTACTAGGCAAATCAACAAATCTCATTGGTTAACGACACAATAATCTGAAAGTTTCACGTGCAAAACGAAATTGCGCCAAAACTCCTGTGAGCCGATTTCGGACTTTCAAAACATATAAAAGAAAACGCCGACTGACCAAAGCAGTCAGAGACGAACATCCACAGAGAAATTTCCAACATACTCCACGTCACTCGAAATCACGATTTTACCGCGCAAAGGTACATCAACGCTGACTCACTTGCAATTTAAACTCAACCAACTCTGTGGACATCGAATTACAAACCTTGCTTATCCAAAGTGAATTATATTCACTACCTATTAAGTAAACTTAAACATCAACGTGCGAACGATTTAGAAATATTACAGTCAAAGGTAGATCACTCCATAAGAACTTCTACCAAAAAAAAAACACTTAATATTGACAATTTTAATATCAATACATATCTAGAAAGACTGTAAATGAACAAACAAATACTAAGAGAGACATACCGAAACCTAAAATATCA